GCTGCCCACCCTATCCCTAGCTCTTCCAAGATTCCAAGAAAGTATCAACAGGGCAGAAAAATCTCCATCATCACATCATCATCATTTGATATGGCTGTAATCATCTACTCATATGACTTATGACTATGTGCTATGATGTTGACATGAATTACAAGAGACTCTTTTAAAGTAGAAAGATACAAGTTTGAGTAGATCATTTTGTTAACAAATTCTGTGTAGCTGTTCTAACTATTCAATCCCCTAGGTTATTTAATCAAAACTCCTCCAATGCATGGATCCTCTTGTAGCTTGGGCATGAGGAACATACATCTATAGCACAGCATCTTTAGCTTTTGCATTTTAGTAGTTTACACTATAATGGCTATCTAAAATAACACTGTGAAAATGGCATTTCAAATGCTTTATTTTAGCATTTAAAACTGTTTTAAATGAATGTTTTACACTAGAAGAACACCAATTCAATGCCAGTAATCTATCATTACAGGAAAGAAAATTAAAATATAACCAGAAACATAGTTCCTTACCAGTCTTTCTTTATGGGAAACTAAAGAACAATGTCACTGTGGGAACTTCACATGCATTTGAAAGCAGTTACATCTACTCTTAGAAAAAAAATCTAGGAACTACAGATGTGGTTGATCACTTATCTATATAAACCTTATATTCTATGCTTTTAATATTTTATTTTATTGTGATAAACAACCATGTATCACAATAAACAGTGCAATATGAACCAAAGCCCAAGAAAACCTGAACATGGTTTTTCAGAAGAAAAAAAAAAAAAAAAACTGATAAAAATGATTCTGACCAGACACAAATAAAAACAAATGCAAATATCACAGTAGGGATGAAAATATATCATGTATTTCTGTATGTCCAGTAAGAAATTACCTCCACGTGGGTACCCCTTATTTTCAGAATTACCCCATCATCTTATGAAATAAAATTATAAGGCATCCACAAGATATACATCTATTATTCTAAAAAATCTCCGAAAATTCAACTAGAATTTTGATACAAACCTAAAAAGAAAGAAAGAAAGAAAGAAAGAAAGATGCATAATGATTTCCATTTATGACTCACAAGACTATAAAATTCTTTGATTGGCAAAAAATATACCTTGATGCATAATATATTTTAGGGGGAGGCTATTTTTTTAGTTAAGAATGTAGTAATGAACTGTTTCCTCATGCTTTATGTAATTCTTAGAAAAAGTCCAAATTAGGTGCCCAAAAGGACATTTTAATTATCAGAAGCAGTAGTTTGAAATTCATACAAGCCATCACACTTGTTTGGAAACAAATGACTTTTCAAAATAGAGAAGTATTACTATCAATCACCAACAACTTAATTCCACATAATAAGGCAGGTTTGGATGCAAACTGATCCATTGTGGAATGCTGTATCTAAAATTGATTACAACAGCACTCAAAATGAAAGCAGCCCTCCAAAACACTTCTTTGCACAGAAACATTAATCTCAATTAGAAGGAGAGCTTCATAATGGTAATGCTTGGTATAAAAAAATATAAAATAAATCAGTTTTTATAAGACACAACAATTAATCAGTTTTCAGACTAAGACTTTTTTCAAAGTATAAAATTTCCATTAAGACTCTTAAAACAGCTGGCATCTCCAAGATTAGGCTTTACATGTGTTATTAAAAAAGCTTACATTAAATAATTTTTGAAACTTAGTTGTTGAAAGTTTTTAAATAATATGCATTCTTGTGCTACCTTTTCTGTACACTTCTTCATTCTAAATGTATGTGTTAAGTTCTTCTTCACACCATTCCACTTTATAAGACAAATAGGAACGCGGATTTCAACTGAAAATCCAAGGGGATGTGTAATTGCCCACAGATCACAGTAGAAGTTTGGTAGTAAATTATTCTATTCTTCCCTCATACTCTCACCAAAAGTAAAGAAGGTATGTCCTGAAAGTCAAATGGGCATTTGATTATTAAATAAAACACTGAGTAGATAAACTGTGTTACTGAATATGCTTAACAGGTTTCCACAGCAAAGCTTCAAGAAAAGGGCAGACAATTCATTAACTGCTGGTAAATACACTGAGTCACATAAGACTAATACCTGGGTAACACTCTGCTGCCATCCAGAAATAAAATGTTTCAAGAATAAAGTTTAATGAAAAGGAGGTACATGTATCTATTTTAATAGTTAATATTAAATGAATAAAGTTGTCTTTATGGCACTCATATCAGACTATGATCTTTCTTAAGGACTTATTTCCTAGTATCATTATAGGTAGGATAAACTTCAGAATTTGCAAACATACTTTCACAGATATTGCAAAAGCATAATTTTTTATACATTCAGCCCAACAATCATTCAGTGTTTTTGACAGGTCATTTTACTCACGATGATACTCATACACTTTTCCCTGGTTTCTTGTTTGCTTTACTCTTTACAAAGAGAATAATTACTCTTAGCTCTCAGAAGCAAAGCTAAGAAAGATTAGCTTGAACTTACTAACTGGATCACTATTGTTTAGCTAGGTTTTCCTTCTGAATAAATTTAAAACTTTTCACTCTATTTAGAGGCTTTCTTCTATTTACAGATAAGAATCCTTATCTTTCTTTGTCTTCACCCTAATAAAGCAGGTTTCCTTTTCTAACCAAAAGACTGATGACATGCATACAAGATCATAGTAAACCTCTATAATTCACCTAAAACATTTCTTCCTAGAAAATAAAGTCACACAATTTGGAAAAATAACTAGTCACAATTCTATATAAATATATTTGTTTTATTTCAAATAACAAAATATTAGAGTCCACATTCTCTGTGAGTTGCTAACCTTAATGCAATTGGCATATTATAGTCAGATAGTTTTCTAAATACATATACATTGATATAGTTCTTGTAAAACTACATTTTTCATAAATATTATGCAGTACATGGAAAATACATATTTGTCGTATTTGAAGAAACTACCTTTTCTTTTTCAGGTATGTAAAATAAAATAAATTTGCTACTGGAAAAAAATAGTACCTTTGAGTAAGAGAAATATTAAAATTCATGTAAGAAAAAGACAGAATTATTAAGGAAATTGCAACAGTAAGAGAGATGTACACAATTCTGAAATGCACAAAAGATTAACTAAACTCATTATAAACCCCCATCTTTGAAGAATTTAGGAATAATTTGCGAATGCCATGACATTTAAAAGTGGGATTAGGAAGTCTTATTACTGAACTAACCTCTCCCTCTTAGATCAAGTATTAAATATTTGCTCTGCCTTTAGAATCACAAATCGAAACTTTTAAGGCTTATTACAAGAATTTCACATATTAGGAAACACAAGCCAGAAGTTTGAGACATTAAAAGGGTATAAAGGAAAGCACAAACCAAGAATATCGATGCATTCATAAAATCTTGTAACAAGTTCTAAATTTATACTGCATTGTAATCATGGGGTTACCCCTAATTCTAAATTCTCTTCCTAATACACTAAGAAGACTTCAAATACTTCTCCCAAATAAGCACAGGGGTGTATGCATCACATTTTAAACATTAAGAAAAACAAATCAGTTCTGTTCAGCAGTAATACCCATTTGGGGGCTTATTCTTCCAAGCTTTCCAAAAATGCCAGTCTTGCCTTTCCCCCCCACTTGACAACAGAAGGGAAAGGTAATGTCTGAACATATTTCTATTTCTAGTGAAAAGACCACCCAGTGGATTCTGCCAGAGCCTACAAACGTTTGACAAATACACTGTCAAAAGATAAGAAATAGAGTATTACGAAGAGGCAGTCCTGTTCTTAGGCATCCCAGCTGCCTGGTGCCCTGTAAAAAGTGCTAAGACCGTTCTCGACCCTTTCATTTCCATTGCACTCACTCAAAAGTACCTGGAAACTTTTCTCCAGCTTGGAATTACAATGATTTTAGAAAGCAAATGTATTTGCTGTATGCACGGAGTCGAATCATTCCCCATCCCTTTCTCCACAATCAAAACTAACACTTTCCCATTACAACTATCTTTAAAGTGAGGCAGAGAGAACGGAATCTGAATTGCAGAGTAAGATGCTGAGCAAAGATCTGACAAAACCCACTTCAGCCTTTAAATAATCTGAAGCCCTCCCTTTCTCACTGGTTGTAAAACGTGATAGGGACTTGGATTGCGTTGACGATTCATACGTCTGTAATTTCTTTTAAATGCCCACGTCAGGGTATTTTTTGTTTGTTTCCAGTCTCACTCAGAGTTTTCCAGATCAAGTTTCAGTCGTGAACCACCACTCCCCATAGCACCCCCCCCCCGACTTCTTCCTCCACTCCTCTTTCCAACTTGGCTGCCCAGCAGTTGGGAAAGCCTTCTCTCCACTTGCCGAGAAAGTGGTGGCATCCCAGGGCTTCCCGCTCCCTGAAGCCGCACGGGATCCCGCCAGACACCTTCACAGAGCACGCGGCGCTTCCGCCACCAAACTGGGTATCACCCCGAGGAGGGCAGCGCGGCCGACTCCCCGCCCCCACCGCGCGCGCAGCCTCGGGGCTGGCTCACTGGAGCAGCCCGGGAGCCCCGAGCTCCCCGAAGCGGGGCGCTGTGCCCCGCTCCCCAGGTGCGAGCCTCGGGTGAAGTTCCCACCTGAGCACGCAGCCGGGGGTGTCACACTGGAGGGAGGGGCGGGCCCGGGAGGCAGGGAGCGGGCGGCCGGCGGAGGGGATGCTCGTCCGCACACGGAGCTGGCCAACTTGCCGCCGCCTCCCAGCAGCTCGAGAAACGCGCGTCCCAGCTCGCGCCCGCCCGCCCGTCCCCGGCGCCGCGGCCCGGGCACTAGGACCCCAGAAAGGAAGCAGGGCGCGCCGGCGGCGGCGCCGCACTTACCGCGCTCGGCTCGCCCGCCTCGCAGCTCGCAGCCGGCCGCAGCCGCCGCGTCCCCCAGCAGCGCGCACGCACCGCGCTCGGCCAAATTCAAAGGAGCCGGGCGCGGGGGAGGGGCCGGCCAGGGAGCCGGGAGTGGGAGGGGCGCGGGGAGGGGAGACCCGCAAGTGTTACAACTTCCTTCCCTGCCCGCCGCCGGCCGGGGGCCGGGGCCGCGGGAGGGGCGGGGAGCGCGCCGAGCGCCAATGAGTTCACTTTCTTTTTCTCCCCGCGCGCCCCCTCTCGTTCCCCGCCGGCCCCCTCCAGCCTCCTCCGCGGCTGACGCCGCCGGCCCGGACTTTTCGGGGCTCGGGCCGCGAGCGAGAGGGTGGAGGAGGCGTGGGAGGAGGAGGACAGGGAGGAGGAGGAGGGAAGGTGAGGAGGCGAGCGGAGCTGTGCCGGGCGCAGCATCCAGGACCGCGATCGTTTGGAGGGGGACGCTCTGGGCTGAGTGTGACCGAGACCGGGCGCGTACACGTGTGTGTGTGTGTGTGTGTGTGTGAGAGAGAGAGAGAGAGAGAGAGAGAGAGTGTGGAGGGGGGAGAGGAGAGGAGAGGAGAGGAGCCTACCATGCGCTTCCCCGTGCGGATCGCGGGAGAGCCCAATCACGGGGCGAGCTGGACCGCGCTGCGATCATTTATAATCCTAGACTCCTCCGCTCCGCCACTTGTCAGGATGACAGGTACTTTATTTCTTCTTCTTTATTCAAAAAACCCCAGATTCCCCGTTTCCTGCCTTTTTCTGTCAAATGGGATTTGCTGGACTGAACCACGTTCGCCGCCCGGCTCCCCCTCCTCCCTCCTCCTGGCCGCGTCGGGTCCGGGAAAGCACCGAGGCTCCCATGCTGTGACCAATCAGTGAGTCTACTACTCTCGCCGTGATTTAGGGGTCATCCATGAATAACACTTCAGGCTGATGAATGGCTCTTGCAGGCTTTCGGCTCTGATGAGGGGTCTTCCCGCTGCTGATTGCAAACACTAATGAACTTACAGCGCCATTTGAAATTCACACGCACCAACAAAGTCTGGGGGTACGCGCCCGGGATCTGTCCTTTTCTTCTCCGGGTGACCGGGAAGAGGACCTGGGGGAGGGGGCGGGTAATTGCTTTGGACTTAAGTGGAAACACTTCTCTGGGTAATCAAACCTCTAACCTTCTTAGAAAACTACTTTTCTTGATCTTCCATAGGGTGGGCATTTCAGGTCAGCCGAGTCACCCGAGGAGGTGGGAGTGCTAGACACTGCCGGGAAGATGGATTCCGGGGCCGAAGGGTGTAATTAAGGATTGCCACCCCCGGCGGGCGGCCCGTCCTTCAGCGAGCCTCTGAAAATGACCTGTGCCTTCCCTTCCCGAGTGTCTTCTCTTCCGAAACTGAAAAGCGCCAGTGACCTTCGGACGGGAGAGGGCTGCACTAAACACGCAGACTTCCTTCCGAGCCGCAGCCCTGCACTGTAGAACAAGTGTCCGCGCCCGGGTGCAAGTGCCCGGGCCTCCGAGGAACGTGACCTGGCCAGGGCGCACACTGGGGTCCTCTGAAGCTCCGGTCCCCATCCGTATTCAAACGCATTTACACATTCTCTCTCTCCCCGCTCTCCCCCTCCTCTTTCGCCTCCCCTGCCCTCCTCCTTCTTTTCTTCCTCCTGGCGGATTAGCAGCCCAACACTGCCCCTGTCTCAAGTTTGTTATGGGAAGGGAAAAAAGTTTACTGCTTTTCGCGACACACTGGCACTTGCTACTCACTCAAGTTCCCACCGAAACTCCAGCTCCCGGAGCCCATTCCTCTTCCCAGGCCCCTGAGATGCAGACACCACCCTCAACCCTCCCTCCTCGCAGGGCTTCCTAAATCTGCTTCGAGTTGTCCTTCTTCCCAGTTTTGGAATCTGACACCCATAACCTTCCCGGCTGTCAGGCTCGTCCACTCCCTGCCAGCTTGTGGCGCCTTTACAGTGCAGCGGCAGGCGTGGAGCCCGCTCCTGCGGTGGATGGAGCGCGAGGTTCCCCGCCGGGCGTCCCAGCATTTCCCGGCCCTGCCCAAGGCCCTGCTGCCAGCCGGCCAGTGGCTCAGAGTCAGTGCCTCGGTCTGCCCCGACCGCTGCCAACCTGTCACGACAGCTTGGCAGAGGAAATGATACTGGAGGAGCCCGGTCACCGCACCCTCCCCTGGCAACTCCAGAGCTGGGGCTACGGACCTTACCTAACTTGGCGGGTAGGAAAGAGATTTGTATTTTCACTTGCAGCTGCGTATAGGGCAAGATCGAATCTAGCGCTCGCAAAAGCAAAGGGCAACGCTTCCTAGGAAAGCCTGAGTCTTTATGATCGAGTTTCTCCAAAGTTTGGGGTGGATCTCATTTGTGAACTCAAATTAGCCGTTCTGGACCCACAGTCTAAGCTCCCGAAGTTGCTAAGTGACCCAGCGCACCACAATGTGTCAAGAAGTCTCACAACTAAGCGAACCCCACCTGGTTCCTGGGGCACTAGTGACGCACCACAGACGCACCTTTCCGGGAACAATCAAGAGTTGCCCTGGGGTGCTTCGTACTCTTTCCCGCCGTAGTGAATTTCATACTTGTAAAAAAAAAAAGAGGGTGGGGTGGGGTGGGGTCAGAGGAATGTATTTCTCATTCTATCCGTTCTCATCTTGAGAAGTTGGTCAACTGTGCAAATATGCGCCAGATATTAAATGATGATCATGCAAACTGCTCAAAACTTGCACTCCTGATATAATCCTAAGGAAACTGAGTGTTTCATAAATCAACTTTGTGGCCCAGATCCCACAAAAACATTTTAAGTGTTTAAAAACTTTTACAACTGTCCAAGTGAGACTCCCCCTTGCTCTTCTGTACCTTGCTCTCTAGGAATACACAATGAAGACAAAAGACACTGCCCCATTCCTACAGAAGCCAGAGCGGAGAGCTGCGTCAGGGACATAGGGAGGGGGTTAATCTCTTTTTTTTTTTTTTTTTTTTTTTTGTAGAACCCTCATTATAGCTAACGCTAGTAATAAACGAAGGAGACAATAGAACTCATGAAACTTAGAAAAGGTAATAAATCTTGGCGCCTGTTCCTAGTCTACTTCCCGGTTACATGATTTTCAAAGTTTTTAAGTTTGTGGTGGTGAACATTCACCAAAGTGGACCCAATATATATATATATATATTTAAAAAAATAAAACCCTAGAACTCATGACTTGCCCTGTGCATTCAGTGCCCTAGGTGGCGATGGACAAAGCGCACAGCTGTTCCCGCCAACGTCCTCCCGTGTCCCGAGGGGCAGCCTGTAGTAATTCAGGCAGTGTGTGTATGTGTTAAATTTGGGGAGGGGGAAATGAGAGAGAAAGATCCGTCATTTGAGGACTTTAGGAAAAGCTGACACGCATTGCCAAAGAGTACTACTCTCTGCCTCCTCCAAACGCATCCCTGGAAAGCAGAAAGGCAGCTCCCTACGTGACCATGAGCCACTTTGCCTCCCCGAACTGTTGTCCTGGGAGGACGAGGAGGGCGGGTAGCTCACATCTTACCCTTCGCAGCGATAAAAACTAGAGTAGGAGAAGAAATGCAAGACAGTGCAGTCTGCTGTGCAGACCTCTGGCTGCTGCACACAGCAAACTCTTCTGGCTGGTGACTTTGCGGTGTTAACGCAGCCGGCCGTGCGCGGGGATAATGGGGCCGCCGAGCTGGCGGCATCGCTGTCCCTTGGGCCCCTCTTGTCACACAGACATGCCGCTCTCCGCAAAGAGAATGTGGCAGAGCTTCCAGCACAGCCCGCGTCCGTATGCCTAGAAATGTATGCCTGCGGCCTTAGTGAGCCTCGGGGAAGGCAAAGGCTAAACCTCCGGATGTGCTTTGAGGTTAGGAAGGCTGCCCCTGTGTCTTCAGAACTGGGAAAGGGCCAGGCTCATGCCCGGATGCGGTTGCAGGGCCAGACCTCAGTCAGGAGTCGCCCCCCCACTTAAAGGTGATTCTTCCCCATTACAGTCAGCATCACGTGAGCCTCCTCCGGAGACTTGATTCGGAGGGCTCTTCCTTTTTTCCTCTTTTCCTAAGGATCCAGCCTGGAGCTAGAAAGGCTGGAGGCCAGCTATTCCAGCCTCTTCCTTCGGAAGAGCCGCGTGTCCCTGGAGCCACATCCTCTTTTAACGCGGAGGCACAAGGGGAGCCTGGGATCAGGCAGGTAGCAGGCTCCGCAGGGAGAAAGTTGTACACCACTGGACTTTACAAGTATCCTTCCGACTTCTCACATCTGCTCTAGCAAACTGAGGCATGAGTGGGCTGACTTCTGAGAAACCACTCAAGGGACTCTAGACACTCATGAGCAACTAGGAGAAATGACAGGAAGAACCAGAGCTCAGGCACCTAGACCTGCCAGCTCAACCCTGGGAAAAATCAGGAAAGCCAGTAATCCAAACATGCCCAAAAGGAGGTTATGCCTCAACTGAGAGCAACCGATACCTAATGGGCTACTTGAAACAGGCTGAAAGCTAATAGTTGCTCAGCAAACCCTGGATTCTAGACACTCAACGTGTTCCTGCTAAACAAATCACTCTCCATATAGCAAACAATTAATCTGGAACGATTTACTGCACTAGAACTTAAATTTCATACTCTCTAAAGTAGCTGTAAAGCAATTATCAGGTTGCTTTTCACTCACAAGAATAACTTGTTTCCCTTGAAGTTAGATTGAGGGAAACTGTAAAATAAAAATTAGAATTTGATCACTGACAAAGTCATAAAATTAAATGACTGTTTCTAGTGGCAAATATGCTTTCATTACCTTAATTAAAGCAAGACAGTCAGTCCTCTCTCATTGCACATCCACTTTGGAGTCATGGAGTGGACTGGTGATCAGACAAATCAACCTTTAAATGGGGCCAAGTTTTTCCAGTACATTAGTTTGTGTTCCAGTGCATAAACCAAGCTTGCATGTGGCTTTGACCTTTGGTGCAAATGAAGTTTGGAGCACAACCCAACTGCTGATGTGGTTTTGCTAGAGCATCCTAAAAGACCCCAAGTTCTAGGAAGGATTTTGAACACAGAGACATCTTTTAACATGTGATGCTTTCAAAGCTGGCTGAGTTCTATGTACATCTTTAAAATCTGCCACATGATTCCACACTGAAAGTTGGAACCTGTATAATTAATGGTTATCAGAGAGTTCTTATGAAATCTATCTAGTTTTTATAAGTGACTTGATAGTAAGTAATATCTATTTAGTATATTTGAGGTAGGCACCAGTTGTTGACAAAGTTTATCACACATTAGTGATATAGAAAGACAATTTTGTCAATAAAACAGCATCATTTAGATATTTTAGAGTTCAGTTTATAATCCTAACCCCAACCTTATAATAAGTTAACTTGTAAATATGGTTTAAATGCAGACACCAGATGAACATAATCCAGTACCAGACATTCAATATCTTCTCATTTCCCAGATATGCCCAACTATTACCTTCCTGTTACTGACCCCTTGGTCTATAATATCCTGCACCCTGGACCCCCAAAACACCTAGCTTTTAAAGCATCTATTAGTAATCTCTCCTCGTTAGGTGTGTCACTATATTTTAGGAAAACTGTGTTTTGTAGGGCCCTCCTCAGTAGTTGAGAGCTCCTGCAGTATAGGGACTTCATCTTATTTTCCTTTGAAACCACAGGGCCTAGCACGAGGGCTGGTCTATAGACTATGCTCAGAAATGTTTGTTCAATGAATGAATGAATACATGAATGAAATATTTTATTGTATTGAGTCATTCTGATTTTCTTTTCAAATAGGATATGTGATAAACAAAAGTTACTTTGAAAATTTATTTACCAAATATACTTTTCTACATCTATGACCGTCAGTTTTTAAAATAGGACATAGTTTTAAAATTCTGATCATTATAGGGACCCACCTTTGAACTTGGTTGACTTTTCTCAGAAACAGAAATACTCAGAACAGGAAGAGGCAAAGAGATCAAATTTTGTTTTCTTTTTTAGTAAGATGAATTATTTACAGAAAACTGCAAGAAGGCATAGCAAGCATCTAACAAATGTAGCTGCTCTAACTATTTATATTAAATATAGCATTATAAAGTTCTTATTTTCTTCCAAATTTTTTCTGTACTTTTAACGGTAAGACATGTAGAATTTAAGATGACCGTTTTTCATTTCTTTAAGACAAGGCTTCAGCTGGTACTGGGGAAACAATCTCTGTTTGTTCCTGTCTGCTCAGGAGGACTGTTTCTAATTGATCTGGCATGGAATTTACTTGGAGATGTGTATGTTCCAACCGAAGCACAGAGCCTGTATGCTTTGTAAAGTGATAACCATATGGGCCTTATTTGAAACATTTGAGGATTTTTGACATTAACCTGGGTTAAATTGAGCTATAAATTCAACTCAAATATATACGTCCTGACAAATTCATCATCACTTTGGATAGATTCAATCCATGCTCCCCTCAGATTAATAAAGTCAATGACTGCTGATCACAAATGCAAAGGTTCACTGTGATAAAGTACCATAATGTTGTACTTTGCACTGTTTAAATGCAAATTGCCCATATTAAGCAGACATTTTCTACTGTTATCACTTTCAGTAGAATGGAAATGTTTAAAAATGATCTCTAGGTAAAGGAAAGGATATATAGTCAAGTCTATTTCCTCTTACACTATTTTCAAGTGCACTTCACGATCATCATTTAGATTTAATTAAACGACTCAGCTAAGCTAAAAAGCAAAGCGGCTGGAAGTTACCACTTAGAGAAACATTCAAGAATCATACAAAAATAATGTATTTACTAGTTTTCATTAGGGATAAAAATACATCAGAATTCTGTAACTCCTTTCCCCTATTTCTGAATATTAAATTTAGAGCTTACACTTTGTTACAGATAATAGTACTAAGTTATGGGTGTTGATGGTCCTTTCCTTGCAGCTTTAAATTGCCTTGAAAAAGATACAGTTTCTTTAATTAAAAAAGCTGCATAGAACTAATCCCTCTAGCTGAAAAAAGAAAAGTTTTAAGCAATCTCTTTCTGCTCGGAGAGAGAAAGGCAGACAATACCATAACAGATCAGAAACATAAGCTATAGTATGCAGCCAGGAGCACAGCAGGGAACTGAATACTGCTCCGACTGTGTCATTTTTTAATCCTCCATCCCAGTTTTCCCCGTCTGACCTCATGCTGAGATGAAGTTATCACAGAAGACAGCTTTACTCTCACCAATGAATCCAACCCTGGATCTGTATTATCCTCAGCAGATCAAAACACCGCTTTCATCAAATAGCATTATCTGCATAAAAGGCATGCAATTGCCCGATAATTTCACCCAAACTATGCTATTCATTTAAAGGACAAGAAGAGAAATGTAATTCATTCCTTTTGGGGGGTGGTAGAGAAAAGTGAGACTTGGGGAGAGACAGAGACTGGAAAAGCCAACTTATCCTCCTCTACTCATGGGAACTTTTCTGTTTTTAACACAAAATCCCAAGAAGGGGTCCATTTAAAAGTTCCCCTTCTCCTGGGCTTTAAGATTAATTGTTGGAGCAATTTGGTGCAGTTTGAGTGACAAAAGTGCAAGTTGTGTAGAAAACTGGCAATAAGAAATTACAAAGCTTACTGATGTCATTATCCATGCTTCCATGAACCCCAATAAAAACATCATATCCAGTAAAATTGGAGAAGCGTAAGAATTAGCTGAACAGTTGGATGAATTTTAACACAGCGT